CCATTGATAGCAAACAATGAGGAGGCCACAACATCAGATAGATCAATGGACAAAGTACCCACGAATCAGGATCCGACACCTGGCGATATAAATCATTTGGTAAAGTCTGAAACCCTCGATTCTAAAACAGAGAGTCCCTTAGAACAAATAGCTTCAAGTGCTGACGTGGACAATTCTTCTAGAAAGACGGATGTAATAGGTGATAAAGATGAAGACATGGTGGATTTCCAAAGTACAATGTCATTAAAGACTCCAAACCAAGTTGAAAGCCCAAAAACGTGTTCGAATTCAGAAAGTGAGAGGGAAGCTGAGAATGAAGAAAATGGTTCACGTTTATTTGAATTATCAATGAACAAGAAGACATCAGATTTGGAATTAGATTATGGAATCATAGATCCGTTAGAGGTTGCTAGACAAGTTGCTAATGAAGTAGAAAGAGAAGTTGATGATTCCAGGGAACGAAGTTGTAGTACTTCCGAGGGTCCAAAAACTCCGGAATCCACAATTCCGGAAGAAACTCCACCTGTCATGGGCTCAAAACAGCCCACGAAAGAATCCGAAACCCAAACCCTTGTTTCTAAACCTGACATTACCATGTCTCAAGTTTCCGAAGTGGCTCAGGAATCGGAATTCAACACCGGAAAGGGAATCAGTGGTGGGTTCGATCTGAATCAAGAAGTTTGTTCCGAAGAAGTGGACGATATGAATCCGGTCTCGATGTCATCGACAGTGTCCGTTGTTTCTGCTTCCAGAGCAACCGCAGCTTCGGAATTACCAATTACGCCCTTGCAATTCCAGGGTACTCTAGGGTGGAAAGGCTCCGCTTCCACCAGTGCATTTAGACGGGTCCCAGAAAGTGAAAAATCCGGGCGCCACAACAACTCCTCAAAACAACAACGTTCGGATTGTCTTGATATCGATCTCAATGACAATGTTCCTTCTGGGGAGGAATCGTCTGTGGAGGCGGGGCCCACGAGACCGGAAAGACCGCAGTTGGATCTCAACAGTATCGGTGACGAAGCTGCTGACGTGGCGCGTTCCGATTGGTGGCAAAGCCCGTCTGTTTCTTCTTCTTCATCGTCAAAGCAACCTTCTAGAAACATTGATTTGAATTTGACACATCAGCCACAAGAATCTGTTATTTCCATTTTTGGCACAAAAGTTGAGGTGAAAAACAAAGATTTCCAGAATCTTCCGCAACCTTCCGGAAGGTTTACGAAACCAACAGTAGATTTCAATATAGCGAAAACACATTACAACAATCAGCTTTTTTATAACGGTTTTCCACCGGGGCCCGCAATGTTTTTCTACGGGTCGCCTGGTGGGCCCAGTGGGCCCGTCCAGTATATGGTCGATTCGAGAGGGGCCCCAGTGGGACCACAAATTATGGGCGGCTCTTCGCCGCCATTGCCTTTCATGGTGAACATGGCGGCAGGTGGTGGGTCTGGTGGTGAACCGCCAGGTCCGACACTGCATAACTTTGATCTGAACACGGGCTTGTCTATTGTTGGAGGGAAAAGGCGTGAGCCTGATGGGAGATGGGATTTTTTTCCGGTGAACAAACACCAGCAACCACCGTGGAGGTAGTGGTTTATTTTTTTTTAATATATTACAACAACTCTAATAAAGAGTCTTGAAGAGTTGTTTATTGGGAAGAGTGAAGGAGGAAGGAGTTGGTGATTCTTATTTTTATCAGATTAATTGACAAAAAAGAAAAAGGAAATAGGTTTATTTTTGGTTTACAGACGTCTATTTGGTTTTTAAGTTTTGAGTATTTGATAGAAGGGTGGTTTTGGAATATACGACTTTGTTACATGTAGCTGTAGTTTCGTTTTCTCCGTATTATATCAAAGGAAATTAGAGAAACCCTCCCATTTCAGGATTTTCTGTTTCCTTCCTATAATTAGATTGTGTATAATTAGACATATATTTGGTTTTTTATGCCGACTTCGTTTTTATCTTAAGCTGCAAGCTTCCTTTTGTCTCCAAAAAGGGAATTTTGGAGTTTGCTTATATAAACCAGTTTTAAATTTTTAGACTCACACTTATTATTTTATTCTAAAATGACTACATAAACAATAACAAAACCCCAGCCCCAAGCCCCAAGTTGAACGGTATACACATGCCAATGTGGTGTGGCCGCATCAACATAACCTCTCCACAATTGAAGAGGGGCAAAGAAAAAGGAAGAAAGTTGTGTGGTTGAAGCCCCTCCGTGCCCAATTGACTGCCACATCACCACCAAGCCATCGAGGGGTGATGTGCACACCTTGGTGAGGTGTCGCATCACCACCACACCCTCAATGTGTAGTGTATACAGCATAGCCTAAAAATGGGATAGGTATGGTATAGACAATCTAGGTTGCTTTTGTATGATGACCTCCTATACAAGAAGAGAAAAAAAAGACAGAAAGAAATATAAAGGAACGACACTAGCTCGCTCTCAATGATCTTGTGCATATCAAAATGACAGAAGTAGTGTAGCTGGATAGAAAATAAAACTTTTAGGGACATACACATCAAAAGTAAATAAGACACAAGGGTAAACAAGTGAATGTTGTATGCATACACATGTAGTGGAAACAGAAAGAAGATATTAGCAATATATCCTGAAAAAAAAAGAGCTAACAAAGTAAGATGATAAAAGTAAAACTAAGCGACAAACACAAAACAGTGGAGAGAGAATTTAGTACGTAGATTACTCATATACTACCGAATGGGCCAGGACCTTGTTCTAAGTCTACACACCATCATATATGAAGTCGTGTCATCGATAAAAGCCAACTTCTTCAAGTCTAACCATATGTTATTTTTCCACTTCTTTTCTCTCGCATCTTCTCCTCCATACACATTTGATGATGATTCCTTACACCCACCTAATTACAAATTGTTGCTTATTTTTTATGGACAAGTCTGCACCATCATAATATTTCGCTCTTCGGTTTCTCAATGATCAACACCACTCATAGTGATTTTTTTATTGTCGTCCTTAGCCATGATCAACAAAGTTCTACAATATGTCTACATCAACATCCTTATTTCCACATCCTCCTTCCTAATGTGCTCCTTTTGAATTGACCGACATTCATACACATATAACATAGGAGGCCTTACACCTGTCCTATATAAATTTCCCTTAAGTTTCAATAGGATCTTCTTGTTACACAAAGGTCATGTAGTTGCTCTCTACTTTAAAAATCCCATTTTTATGCGATAGATAACATCTTCATCATCCCCTTTAGTATGGATATGTATGGATCATAAACTTAAGTACATGAAACTCTCCTTTAAGCCCAAGACATGCTCACCGGTACACAATTATACCACTTCTGCATTTTGTTCTCAATGTATTTACACTATAGATAATTCGTTTTAAATATGTTGGTCAGAAGCCTATTTTCTTCCAAAAACGACTTCTAGTGATAGGTATCCAACATAGCATTCAACTCAGTCCTTGCTGGGTCTCGCAGAATGGAATATATTGTGTTTGAGTTCTTATGCGAAAGGGATTTCGTAGTTTGTATGTTTTAGTCTTCATGTGTAAATGCAAAATGATGTGTTAGGTTTCGTATGTTGGTGTTCGTATATATTGTACTTAGGCTTCGTAGATTGTATTAGTTTGTTTTGACAGCTATGATTAGCTTAAGTGTCATGATCTCATTTGTCAATGTCTAACCGACTTCCTTGTATTCACGAGAGAGAGAGAGAGAGAGAGAGAGAGAGAGAGAGAGAGAGAGAGAGAGAGAGAGAGTTCTTATATCAGTTGTAATCGAGTGCTTTACTCTCTAATGCAAATAAGATCTTATTTACTTTGATGTGTTCTTACAATTACATCTTTGTTTTATGATTTCATTCTTATAGAATCTACCGATGCTACGGTCCTAGCCTCTAACACAAAGATGATGTCCTTAGAAAAGAAACATACACCTTAGTACCCACCTTGTGTCTCGTGATTGATCTCATCCATATATGGGCAAAGATAAAAGAGCTACATATCGATATTAAACACTTCCTCATATGGGCTAATTGAATTTACCATTTTTAAAGCTATATTTTATATAAAAAGTCATGCGGATCAAGGTCCCATAATTCATATTTAAAATAGTTAATTGTATATGTTTAAGTATTACGAGGCTAAAACAATCTTAATCTAAACACAAGTCAAGTAAAAAGAGTCCGATACAAAATTTGTGGTCTTTAAAATATTCATGCATCATCTTCTCTTCATTTTCTTTAATACCTCTAATCTAAATACATGTCAAAATAAATATGTTAATATTGAGAAGGTCAAGTGAGTATTTTTGATATCAACTTTCAAGGTCAATAGACTAGAACGTCCACCTCGAAAAGCCAAACCTTAAAGGAAAAATAAGTTATAAAAATTCCAAAGGTATATCAAGTTCAATAATCGGGGAATGAAGCATTTCAAAAGCAACACAATTCTTATGTTGTTTGTTTGTTTTTTCTAAAAGCTCTTTCCGATCTTTTTTTTTCTCTACAAACTGTTTTTCTTTACTTTTTTTAGAATATCATAGACTTAAAAATGTATATCCGTCGTCTTCTTTCGTAAAAATGATACATGCTCTTTCAAAATTTGTAGATATTTGCACGTCTTATTTGAGTGAACTTTGATGTATCGAATATAATTACAATATTGACATTTCCATAATTATTATAATATTGACATTTCTATAATTTGACATTTCATTTAGACAAAACAATACAATAATTTTCCTTTTATCCTTTAAAAAACCAATAATATAATAAATAAAAAACATTATAATTAACAACTTCATTGATATTGATAGTAATAAATAAATTAGCACTATATTCAAAATATAATAGGAATAAAAATAAAAAAATAAAAAAATATATAGATGTTATAATTCAAAAATAAAATAAAATAAAATCAATTCAAAAAAAAAAAAAAAGCTAAAACCAAATGTAGTCTTGTCTTGTACCTGTTTAGTGGAATTAAATCGAGTGTTGGATTACGCCCGATGAGTCGCTATCTCAAATACCATCCGACGGCTCATGTTAATCTGGATCCACTCACCATACAAAACCAAATGCCCCCACCAATTTCTTTTTCTTATCTCACCACACTTCCCACGGTGGTAATGGCCGAAAACCAACCACCGTTGCAGCCGTCATCTGCGCCGCCGCCACCACCGTCGTCTCCGCCACACTCTGGCTCCGATAATCCCGATCCAACACAATACTGGTGTTACCAGTGCGATAAACGAGTCCCCGTCGAAACCCGACCCGATGATCCCGATATCATCTGTTTCGAGTGTAAGAACGGATTTGTCGAGTCGATCTCAGTTCCTTCTCACGCTCGACAAGTCAGCGATGAAGATACTCCTGCTTTCGGAAACGAGTTCCTACAGGTGCTCAGGTTAATTGCTCAGTCGGCGGGTGAGGACGACGAGCCTCCTCCTCCTCCTCCTGCTGCAGATCATCCCGTTGGCGACAACGATTATCTCCGTATCGAGCTCGATGGATGGGATAACCGTATCCTTGACGTCAACGAGGTGGAAGAAGAGGAGGATCCTCAAGTAGACGAAGATAGGGCTCGATTTTACTATGACGATGAAGACGACGACGACGACGATGAGCAAGAAGAAGAAGAGACCGAGAATCGGAACCAAGAAGAGGAGGAGACGGATGAGGATTTCGTCAGAAGAGAAAGGCGTGACGTGCTCCGTCTTCGCCTCCGCGACTTCGCGAGCCGAGCTGCAAACCGTCGTAACCGGATTCTGGATTGGGCAGAGATCCTAATGGGACTCGAGGACCAGTCTATCGAATTCAGGCTACAAGTTCCCGGAGATGATGATGGTTACATAGGCAATCCTGGAGACTACGTCGACGCAGCTGGATACGAAGCTTTATTGCAAAATCTCGCAGAGAGTGATAGCGGTGGGAGGAGAGGCGCGCCGCCTGCCGGAAAATTAGCGATCGAGAGCCTACAAACAGTCGATGTGAATTCAACTAACATGGAAATCTGCGCGATTTGTAAAGACAGAGTGTTCAATAACGAAGACAAGATCGCTAAGCAACTAGGGTGTGGACATATGTATCATGGAGACTGTATAGTGCCATGGTTGGGTTCGAGGAATACTTGTCCTGTTTGTAGGTATGAGTTGCCTACAGATGATCCTGAGTACGAAGAAGACAGAAAAAAGAGATCAGTCACCATGACTGATACATCAATTGATCATGGTTGTTCTTCAAGCTCCGGTGGTGGTGGTGATTAAGAAGTGGTATGTATGCATTTGTCATTGATGTTGTACTTGATAACTTTGGTGTTGGTTTTTCATTGCTCTTATATAAATCGATGTTAATTTATTGTGTTCTTCCTGTTGTACATACATATTTACTCAATTTAGTCATTGTCTCATTGATCTCACAACATCATATGGGTTCTTAGTTCTTTGTTTTCTATACTCTGTTATGGGTTTGTAATAAAGCTGGAATGGATAATGTTCATTGTCAAACATGGTGAACATAATGAGGATCATATTTTACTATCTTTTCTTTAACTTTACATGATATCGCATGTAGTTTCTTCTTCCTACTTATTCATATTGGATTTGTGATTTATGGACATGATCATGATGCAAAGAGCTTTCTGTCGTTTCTGATCATGGTGTGAGTTTTGCAGTTGATGGTGTTGCTTATTGGCATCAAGATTTAAGAAGCTAGTTGACACAACAAGGTATAACTAAATTCGTACAAGCATGAAAATGAAACATATTATGTGTTTGTACAAAGTATAAAATTGCATGTCACCAAGTCAAATACAAATGAGATTTCCACTAACTTCCTTTATTTGACTATCAGAAACTTCTTGGCAAACCTTCCTCTTCTCTCTTCTGCACAAGCATTAAGTATAAAATAAGCTATCCACCATGGAAATCATTTATATATTTTCTCATAGGTAGAATAGTCGTGTTTGCAAGCTTAGAAATATTATCCAATATATATGTAACAACACGTCTAGTATCGGTAGAAAATATTGTGAGCTTCTTACAAGCTATAAAAAACACTATTTTATCGTTTTTTTTTGTTTAACCATCCAATTTTAGGTTGTGTTAAAAAACCACTAATTTTTGGATAAGCTTAGAAATATTATCCAAGATATATGTAACAACATGTCACATATGTAAATAAGTTCGGTTCTGGGTTTATTGAATTTGCATTTTTCGGTTTTGGTTTTTTTTGGTTCTAGAATTGATCTGATTCTTAACAGCCGTGATGCAAGGCCAAACTAAGTTATTATATCAAAATATATAATTTTTTGTTCGCTATAAATAGTCTATATCATGGTTGTCAAAATCACGATCTTGATCGTAGGATCGTACGATCCTATGATCCTAGGTATGAAAAACGATCCGGATCGTAAAAGGATCGTATTTGGGGTAGGATCGCAGGTAGGATCGTAAGATCGTAGGTAGGATCGTAGGATCGAGATCCGATCCGATCCTACCTTCCCTTGATTTTTTTTTTATTTTTTTCTTTTGCAAATGAAATTTTTTTACCACTTTATGTCTTTTACCCTTTACCAGTTTACCATTTATCATTTTGTATTGTGGTTTATGACTAATATTTTGAAGTTTTTATAATTTTTGAACGAAAAATTGAATGTTTGAATATTTTTCATGATTAAAAATTATAAATTAAAACTATATTTTATTTTGTGGGATCTTAAGTTCCCGATCCCGATCTTACGATCCTGATCTTGCAAACCCAAAAACGATCATAGGTAGGATCCCGATCTTGACAACCTTGGTCTATATCAATATGTCTGTAAAGTTTTTTTTTTTTTTTTTTTTTTTTAATAAATATTTTTTTAGTTTTAGTAATTTTATAAAAAACTATTCGGGTTCGGTTTTTACGACTTACTTTTAGTTTTCTTGGTTAAGTAATTTACAGTTTTGGTCATTGTGGTTTATACCATTTGCCGTTTTAGTTCTGCATTTGAATTTTTAGCAATACTTGTGTCTCTATGGGTTCCAAAATTTATATGCATGTTCCATGTATGGTTTTCTATATCCATGGTCCATGAGGTTTTCCATGTGTTATATGTATGTAAAATTTACCATTATACCAATATTTATTATTTTATGATATTTTAACATATTAATAATTTCTAGGTATTATTTCTGTAAATTAAATTAAGAAAGCCCTAAAAGCTTTGAGGGATCTCGCTTTCTTATTAGCTACGTCTCCTTTTTCCCTTAACCTGGCATGGAAGCCTAATGCTCTTCCTTCCCTTCAACTTGTCGGAATCTCATTGATAACCCAACGTTACTCCTCGTCACCGGAAGTCCCACCTCCGCCACCACAAGTTACCTTCTCTATCATCGTCGCAACCGCCACAGCCACCACCACCCAAGGTACAATTCGCCTCACCGGCATTGACATGCCGCTACCGCCACCCTTTCTGTATCTATTGTCTTGTAACTCTGGCTAAATGCTACTCCTTCCCTACCGTTTTCTTATTTTTGGGTTGTTTTTCTTGCGATTTTTTGATTTACTGTGGTCATATGTTTTTACTCGGTTACAAGAAAAGTTATTTTAGTTGGGGATTGGTAATTATTTTACATTTAAGATATTGTTCAAATTTATTTCGATCGTCTCATTCCTTTTTTGAGTTGGGTGTCATTTGTTATAGTATGTACCAGTTCCATTCATGAAAAAATATATGTTGAGTGGTGATGAGAATGCATGAATAGCGTTCTTCAAATGTGGCTTCTAGGGTCCAACTAGTAAAATGATGCTGTGTGGTTGAGTTGATCAATGAGATGGAAAAGGTGCTAAAAGTCACCATATTTGAGTTAGGATATAATTTGGTTTTAGTCTTTGCTTAAAGATTTCAATTTGGTGGTGTTGATAGTATTCGTGGTGGTGATGATCGATGACAATGATGATGGCGATGGTGGTGATTGGTGATAGTTGTGATGAAAACTGAAATATAAATAAAAGTGATGGTGGGGGTTGATGTATGTTGAAGGAGTAGTGATGACACTAGATGGTTAGTGGAGTGAGGGCGAGTTTAAAATTTTCTTTTTATTTTATTGTTTTGTTTTGTGGTGGGGGTGTTAACGGTGGCAAACTTACTAAAACAAATAATATAAATAAAAACGGAAATATGAAATATGATAAGACAAGTGAGGTACACTTGTCGTTTTACATGTACTTATCAGAAAAAGCTTAACATGTTATTTCAGGAACCAAGTGTGTAATTTTTGGAAACCATATGGACGAGTCATGTCAAAAGTTTGAAAGTTGTACTAAAAGAATATATTAATGTTAACAACTAGGGACCAAAATGTTAGAAAATCAGGGTGTTTAGAATACTTAGAAAACTCAGAGTCGTGAATTACACGTTCAGATCAAAGTATTTCGATGGTACTATTGAAATATTTAATTGGATAAAACTCAGTTATGAGAGAAGAACAAATGATGAGGTATGATTTATTTGGTGTACCAGAAAAATGGCAAAAAAATGGGCGTATAGGGTTAATCAGGTCTATTTTCGGGTTTTACATAAGGGTCAATTAGGTCTATTTTACATAATGGTCAATTAGGTCTATTTTTCGGGTTTTACATATGGATAAAACTAAGTTATGAGAGCAGAACAAAGAATGATGAAATATGATTTATTCACAACCATAAAAAAGTATGATGAAACTGCCACCAAATTCGGGGTTTAAATAAAGGTCAATCAGGTTTATTTTCTCAAATTCGACCCCATCCAGGGGCTCTGCCCTTTGGACCCCACCAAAGGTTGCCACTCCTTGGACCTCACTACCAGGGGCGCTGCCCTTAGACCCCTGTCAGTTCAGGGACTTCTCCACTAAAAAACAGTGTACTTTGAATCGTGAATAAACTCAAACAAGTGTGCACTCTGCACCGCCCTTACTTGTTTAATATTCATCAAAATTGCATTAGTCAACAAATAAATCTCATTACACTTAAATAATATTAGTGATACAAATCATCAACAAACCTCCCCCATTTAAGTGTAATCTTGATTAACTTAAAGTAAAATTATAACAACAACAAACTGATGCATAAATGAAATGTTGTGACGATTGAATTTCACATTAGTATATTACTCATTCAAAATATCGAATATTAGGGTGTCACTAAGGATTGAACCCTTTCTATTTATAGTGAATACATGAAGATAATACACACAACAATTTACATACTCATATGATCTAACTTGACATTATATCTGATAGTTTATTTTAATTACTTATTTTTATAGTTTATTTTAGTTTATTTCATCCATAATTTAGTTAATTTCCATGCATATTTTCCTTTTTGTTGTTTTATGGCCAGTTTCGGGTACTTTCTAGTTTTGTGAGCTTTATTGCAGATTTCATGGAGACTAGTGGAGCGGGAATGTTCGGGACGTATGGAAAGCAATTGGAATAAGAGGACGTCGAGGATTTTAGGCTTGATGGGTAGTGGAGATGATGCATGGAGTGAGCTTGATGATTATATGAAGGCTTGGAGAGAAATTAACTTTAAATTTGCAAGATGCGGGGGAATATTCAAGCGTGCGTAGATTATTAATCGGGCGAGTTCACGAGCTTTGGAGGATTTGGAGAAGTCAAATTGGGCTTAAAATGAAGAAAACTTGAAGAAAAATGGGCTAGGAGCTGATTGGACTCAAACTGGGCCAAGTGGGCTAAGCTATGGAGGCCCAAACCTCAAAGATGCTACATCCAGGGACCACCCGCGCAACCCACCCGCGCAACAGCACGCGGGTCGCGCAACCCCCTGCAGGGGCAATTCCGGAAATTCTTATTTTGATCTATATGAGGAAGTTTGGTGTGCCACTTTTCTCAACTCTTAGACATCCGATTTTTGGGCATTCTCTCTGGAGTTTGGGAGTATTTTGAAGGCCAAGAACACTCAAGAACTTCATCATTTCAACTCTTAATTCTTGTTAAATGTTTGGTACAATCTTCTCTAACTTTGTTTCTTTGAGTTTAGTCATGCTTGGCTAAACTAATCTTGGTTGACTTTTGTTGAATCCTTTGAACTTTTGTTGAATGTTGAAGAATCCATGAACATGTTCTTAAATCTTTATGGGAATGTTTTGTTTCTTAACATCTTATCTCTACTTGTATGTTTTTATTCATGAGTTTAAATGTGTTTGTGGTGATTAGTTGACTAATTTCTTGATTAAGTAAAGGATCCTCAAATTAGCAAGCAACGAATGATTTTTGTGTTGTTTTTGCTTCACACAATCATAAAAACATTTCCTCCAACATGGTAGTGAAAGCATTTGACTCCTCTTGGATTTGGTGACTTTTTGGTTCTTAATGCTAGTTGACTTTCACTAATTACATGCTTAATGGAAATTGTGACTTTGACTAAGGAAATTGTTATGAGCTTCTCTAACCATTTTAAAAACTAAGAAAAGTCTAGGTAATCTCAAGCTTCTTGGATTACTATAGCCAAATTAAAGATTTAAATCAAGTATTGCGCCATTGGATTCTAATGACATGTTCATCAAAAGTCAAAGTGAGGAAACCTTAAGTCAACCATCTTTCTCTTATTGATTTCACATCAAATTCTTATTTTTGCCAGATTGTTCATTTAAGTTCTAGTTTAATTCTAGTTTTAATTAAAGTATTTCAAAAAGATCAAAACCCCCATTTTTATTTTATTGTCACTTTTGCAAAGAGATTTCCCATAGAGTTATAAATTGAACCAATCTCCGTGGATCGACCCCTTTACCACTATACATTATTTTAATGTAAAAGATCTAGGGTTATTTATTTTTGTTGGCCTCGACAACCACCAATATTTAACTAGCATGTGTCCCATCCTTCAATAAACATATCAAAGCTAAGTCCCAAGCTTCTTGAAGCGGTTAAACTTCATGCTTATATAAGTATTCCTTTTATTCTTCCACCTACAAATGCAATTTTTCAAAAGAACTATTAAGAAATATATTTTCAATCTCCTTTACTTGTGGTACTGAACACATACCTTTGGATGATGTTAATAATGTGTTCCAATCTTCAAATATCAATCTTTCTACATTAAATGCAACATCTAATATTACAATATATGGGAATTGGGTATCTTAACATGAACGATTTCAGGTGGACTTTAAATTCATCCCCACAGCCGCCTTGTACACAAGATCTCTAGATAACCCTTTAGTTAGATGATCGGCTAAATTCAACTGAGTTCTTACAAACTCCAAAAATATCACACCATTCATGATGAGCTAATGAATCATGCTATGTCTAACACCTAAATGTCTAGACTTCCCATTATATACTTGACTATAAGCCTTAGCCAAGGTTGCAACACTATCACACCTGATAGAAATGGTAGATATCGGTTTGGGCCATAAACTAATTTCATAAATCAAATCTCTTAGCCACTCAACTTCTTTACCAACAACAGCCAATGCTACAAATTCATACTTCATGGTTGAGTTTGTATTACAACTTTGTTTATTGGATGCCCACGAAATGACATCTCTTTCAAGAAGGAATACCCAACCACTTGTAGATGAGTGATCCTCTAAATTGGTAATCCAGCTGTCATCTAAATAACCTTCTAAAACAGAAGGAAACCCAATGTATGTCAAACCATAATCACTGGTTCCTTTCAAGTACTTGAATACTCAATTTAAAGCTTGCCAATGATGTGAACTGGGATTGCTAGTATACCTACTAAGCTTTCCTACAACATATTATATATTTGGTCTAGTGCTAATCATAGCATACATAAGACATCCAATAGCTCTTATGTATTCAAGTTGAGACACTGAGATATCCCTTATTAGGCAGAAGATTAAGATTGGGATCTATAAGAGTACTAACATGAGAACAATTTTCAAAGTTAAACTTTTTCAATATCCTCTCAATGTAATGAGACTGAGAAAGTAAAACTCCAATGTTTCCTTTTTTGATCCTTCTACCAAGAATCACCTCAGCCTCCCCAGGTCTTTCATATCAAAATTAGATTATAGAAATTTCTTGATTTTATCAACTTCATCTTGATCAATACCAAAAATCAACATATCATCTACATATAGGCAAATTATAACTCCTTTACCATAAGTATCAAATTTGTTATATACACACTTGCCAGCTTGGCTTAATGTAAGTCCATTAGATAAGACCACATGATCAAGCTTTTGATGCCATTGTTTTGGTGCTTGTTTTAGACCATACAATGATTTCTTCAACTTGCACACATTTTTTTCATTTCCAGACATCACAAACCCTACAGGTTGTTTTATGTAAATCTCCTTATCCAATTCACCATTCAAGAAATGCAGTTCTCATATCCATTTGGTGAATCACAAGATTATCTATAGCTACAAGAGCTAACAATAATCTAATAATGGAAATCCCAGTAACAGGAGCATAAGTATGAAATAAGTCAATACCTTCTTTTTGCCTAAAGTCTTGGATAACCAATATTGCT